CCAAGGAGACGGACGAAGAAGAGCGTTCAAACAGAAGCAAAAGGAGGAGCAGAAGAAACTTGAGCTAAAAACGAAGGCCACGGGAAAGGGCCCTGGCCACAGGTGGAACTAAGAAAGCTGACAAAAAGTAAACTGCTCCTTGTGTGTACGATGATGGTGACCCTGGATTCCATTCCTATCTGGATGCCCTGCCATAGCATCTCTTGACACCTGTAACTACAATAAAGTGTGTGCTTGGAGTCTGTTGTACATGTAAGAATAAAATTTTACAAAATAATACTGTGGCCTATTGTCTCTAATTTTCATTCAACTATTCATCCCTCAGCTGTGAATTTAAAGTAACCCAGCCTATAATCCTGCCATAGTCTGCTCTTTGAATCTTTGTTCTGTTTTGAAATCTGTGTGATCTGGCATAAAACCAACTTATTTGAAAAAGAAAAAAAAAAAATGTCAGACATGCCAAAGCTGAAAGAATTGCTACAACGGTTGGAAGGCAGCTTTCAAAGCAGAGGAAGGTGGTAGCAGATGGGAATGAGAAGTGCAAGGTGGCCGGGGAGATGACTCAGTAGAATAAGCACTTCCCTGGCAAGCGCGAGGGCCTGAGTTCAATCCCCAGTTCTGCCAAAAAAAAAAAAGTGCATGGGGCTGCTGCACTGGCGGGTGTGGGTTCTGTGCCCAGCAGCCCTTCACTGACAATGCACCCCTACACTGAACGGTGAGCGACTCAGCTCAGGTGGGCAAAGGACTGGGCTGGACATTGCTCCTTGGAGGGCTGCAGATAGCCCTGGTGCATGAGGTGGTGCCCATTGTCAGGGAGCTGCAGATGCTGCCATGGCCCAGCACACAGTCAGTGAGGCTGCAGTGTGGTGTGTCCACTGTGGAAAGCAGGAGGCCATTCTGCAAGAAGCTACAGGGCAGCCGTGGGACGCAGCAGCACTGGGAATATCACCAGAGAAATGGGGCTGGCTTTCGTGTGTACTTAGACACCAGTGTTGGTGGTGGCCATTCCCAGTAGCCAGAAAGTAGGACCAGCCCAGCTGGCTGTCATCTGGTGCAGCAGGATGAGCTAAGCCCACTATAATGCGGGCAGTGGTATTCTACCCGAGAACAGAAACCCTGGCCGACGTGACACAGATGAACCCAAAGCACATGCACACTAAAGAGCCAGCCCAGAAGGACAAAACACGATCCCGCCTGGGCGAGGTAGCTAAAGGAACTGGACCCGGAAGCAGAATTGGGTGCCCAGGCTACGAGAGAGAGCTACCACTTAGCAGCAGTTTCCGTTGGGGAGACCAAGTTCTCAAGAGGGTGACAGCTGATAGTGCATGAACGTGCTTGATGCCTCTGATGTCACCTAAAAACACTAAGTGTTTAAAGGCACACATGCTTTAAAACATGATAGTGTTTACCACGATATCATTAAAATAAACAACTAGCTGGGTGTGGTGGTGCACACCTGTGATTCCAACCTGTCTGGTGCTGGGAAGAATAGGATGTGGGAGCGCTGGGCACGAGTAGAAGAGGCTTATCTTTGGCAGAACCCCACACAGCCTCCCTGGCGCCCCTCCCCACTGCTAGGCCTTTGATCCTGCACTTGTTCGAGACCAGCCTGGGCTACAAAGGGAGCTTAAGGCCAGCCTGAACTGCATAGTGAGACCCTGTCTCCAAAAGACAAATCAGCTCTCCAAGGCAAAAATGAAAACACCCTATTTGGAGGTTTATGACATATTTAGAAACAAAATTCAGGACAGTCTCAAGACTGAGGCAGGAGAAGTGAAGGCGGGCTGCTTTCAGGTTCTCTCCCCCCCGCCCCCGCCCCGTGAAGGTGGGCTGTGACGCAACGCTGTACGCCCTGAAGCCGCCAGCCTGGGCCTGCTCATTTATTAAATACCCTAATGCACACGCTCCCTGGGAGTAGAAGGCGGTATGTGGTAAGCAAGCACACGGACCCCGGTGAATAACCCAGTAAAGGTCACAAGGGCTTAATCCGAAAGGAGGCAAAACAAGGAAAGGGGATGTGTGGGGCAGAAGTGGGCAGGTAAGCACCTGAGCTCAGCCGCACGCCGGCCCCAGCGCAGCCTGCAGTCCAGACCCCTGCTGTGCTGGGCAGAGGCACCGAGCTTTGATCACATGAAGGCAGTACTCAACTGTATGCTGTCTACAAGACATTTACTTCAATGAAATGAGTGGCAAGAAAAGGACGGAGAGCCAGGGAGATGGCTCAGTGGAATAAACGCCTGTCAGGCAAGCGCAAGGGCCTGAGTTCAATCTCCAGTACTGCAAAAAAATAAATAAATAGTAATAATAATAATTTTTTTAAAGGATGAATAAGCCTCTGTCAAGTGATAAGCCTGGCCCTTGAGCAGGCATCCCTGGCTGCACTATTTTGCAGAAAAGCAGGCAAATACTAACTGAAATGTGAGAAGGGCCAGGGTCAACATGACTTGCTATCTTCCTGTCCTTTCTGAGCCTATCTGGTGCTGGGAAGAATAAGATGTGGGAGCGTTGGGCACGAGTAGAAGAGCTGTCTTTGGCAGAACCCCACACAGCCTGCCTGGTGCCCCTCCCTGCTGCCAGGCCTTGCAGGCCAGGATGGAATGCTCCTCGCATGGCGCCTGCGTCCCCTGCCTTCTGCTGCTCTGTCCTGCTGCGGGTCATTCTGTGCAGGCAGTGGGAAGGGTCTCTGTCCCTGCATCCACTCCTTGTAACTCTAGACTGTAGAAATGGCCCCAGAGCTCTTGTGGAAGGGGCAAGGCGTGACTCTCCGGCACCTGGCCCAGTCCTGGCTGCAGCTATTTCTCCATGTCCACTTCCTGTCTTTTTTTTTTTTTTTTTTTTTTTTTTTTGCGGACCCAGAGAGTGCACTCAGGCCCTTGCAGTTGCCAGGGAAGCATTTATTCCACTGAGCCATCTTCCCAGCCCCTCAGTTCTTTGTTCAGTGAGGTTTGCTCAAGGTTGGAGGGAAGATAATGTAAGGCACTGTGTAGTCTGCTATCATGCCTGAGTTGTACAGATGTAAAACCCCAATGCCTCCTTTCCAAAGCATCGCCAGTGAATTCTCCAGAAAAGTGATGTAAGGAGTGAGTGGTATGGCCTGTAATACACAGGCTACTAGAACTGAGGACCAAAAATACCAAGATCTTAGCTGCCCGTGGAGGCCCAGACAGTCACCCTTCCCACCCAGTGCAAACAGGACCACACCACCCTATAGGCAGTGTAGCCCATTAGGATGAGGCCCTGCCCCACCTCTGTAGTCCAACTGTAACTGTACCCTGCCTGGCCCAAAGCAGTCCCACCAGGCACTGACCAGCGGATGCCAATTGTACACCCTGTGGGCTGATTCCAGGTGCTCTGGGCCTTGCCACGTCTGTTGTTACTGGTGGCCAGGGTCTCACTCCCTTCCCTGTAGGTCAGACAGCAGCTGGGGCTGGCAGCAGCTCAGACAATTGCTGCCTGTCCTCAGATGTGTCCCGCTGGAAGCTGCCTTGTGCCACATGACAGAGGCCAACCTCAGCACAGGCCCTGGCCTTGGCCTTTCACCCCACAACACCCAGCAAAGCCAGACAAATTTGAAAAGCAATTTTTATTGAAGACTTGGGAGGGAAAGTTTCATATTATAATAGTAAAAATTCTAAAGTTGAATGCTGTAAAAAAAAAAAAAGGCATGGTGCAGCAGCAGCCAAATCTGGCCAAGAGAGGACAGGCCAGGTGGGAGGTCAGAGGTGAAGCTGGGAGAGGATGAGTGCGAAGACAGAAGTCATCGGGGCCCGGAGGGGGGTGGGGCTCTCCTTTCACCGAGCTTTCGCTCTTGCAGTCTGGGAATGGCAGGGTACATGGCTGTCCCATGTGAGCCTGTGCTGGCTTGTCAGAGCTGCTCCAAGGATGTCCTTGGAGACACAGCCCTGGGGCAGAGACTGCCTTGTGCCCCCCGTGAAGCTCCTCCTAGTGCTGCAGGTGGGATGAGGCCCTGGACCCCAGGTGGACGGCAGCCAGATGCACAGCCGGTCAGGCAGTCGCTGCCCCAAGCCACCACCCCGTGCCGCCAGCGCACCCACCCTAACGCCTCCTACGTGAGTGGAGCTGTTCTGAGGACAGGCCACGTTTGGAGAACAGATTGGATGAAATAAATTAAGAGAAACTGTAGGACAATTTTTCTCTTGACCTAGCCAGGTGGCTGAGCACATCCCAGCAGGATGATCCTCCCCAAGCCCGGGAGGCTAGCATGGCTCCTCCCAGTGCATCCGGAATCGCCATGCAGGTCGTCTGCCGGAGGCTCCAGATCCAGAGTGCAAGTGCAGCTGAGCCTCTGCCGGGCAGGCCCTCAGGCTGTGCCGCTGGCCGAGTAGGAGAACTGCGGGAAGTGAGGCCTCCGCGCACTGTCCACACTTCCCATGCTGTCGTCTGCAGGGTGGGACACAGCTGACTGCAGCAGCCCACCTGCCACGAGGCAGGAAACACCAAGATGGCTGCAGCCTGGACGTGGCGACACTAGCCCTGAGAACACGGACCCCCACCCTGAACACCACTGCCCTTCACAGTCGGGACTGTAAAGCATCCAGAGCCACCAGGGCAGCTGGCTCTGTGGGCTGGTGTGCAGCCCCTCCTCACCTTGGTCAGGTGGTGTGATGGTGATCATCTGGGCTGTGAACTCTTCGTCAAAATACCTAGTGTCGGTCTCCGAGGTGACCTGCGGCTTGAAGGGCGGGCTGAGCTGTAGGGGGCACAGCAAGGGCTGCTTACTGGGCCTGTCCCGCACCCCCTAGTGCACTCAGCTCAGAAGGTTCCAGCCCCTCAGTGCCCAGACTCCAGTGAATGGGGAGCAGGCCAGGAGATGGCAGGCCAGGGGAGCTGCACTTATACACCTTCAGAGGGAGGACCCCAGGCCCAGCCCAGCCACAACCCCTACTCCATGAAAGGCAAGTCCCTCCTCTGTGCTCCTCACGGGCCTCCTTAGGAACAGGTGCACAGGGTGAGCCCCATCTCCTGGTCTCCTGGCAGTGGGGAGCATGCAGGGAAGGAGGCGGGTAGGACGGGCCCCAAGCACAACTGCCTCCTTTGGGCAAGAGTTCAAGAGAGAACTAATCCAGAGGGACAGGGACAGTGGAGCTTCCCTTCAAGAACATCCTGCAGGATCCAGAGAGGGACCTTTCCCCTTGGGAGGAGCCCCAAATACTCCTCAGACCCACAAGACAGGAACCCCCCAGACATCATCCTGGAGGTTGGCCTGGAGGTCAGTGCTGCCCATGGACTCACAAGCTCCCTGGTCAAGGCTGGGCAGGATGGAAGCACTGTTCTCACTCCCTACCTTTGAGGGCAGAGCCAGGAAACTAAGCAAGGGCCTAGCGCCTTGCCCTCCACTGTGGCACAAAGGCATGATGGAGGATTCCAGCAAAGGAGTGCTCCATGGCAGGGCACCAGCGGGAAACCAGACCCATCAAGGCCAAGAGCAGGGCGCACCCACCATTGACAGAGTGATACCCTCCTCTCCCCCACACGCTTCCCACACAGCCTTGGCGCCTGGCACCAGGAGTGTGATGGGGCACAGCTTGCTGGGGAACAGGGAGAAGGGGGTTGGACCCCTGCAAGTGAGCACGAACAGCAGGCTGCAGCGGGCCCCGGTCGGGGGCTCCCCTGTGAGCAGTGTGCCATGAGGGCGCGTGTGCATGCCACTGTGGCTGAGTGAGACAGAGGGCATGTGCACATGCCTGTGGGGACACGGCACCGCACCTTCTTCTCGTACACATCCTGCCATACAATGCTGGCGAAGAAGCGGTGCTGCATGATCTCCTTGGCGTCCTCGGGTCCCCCGCCAAGCCTGCAGGAACACAGCCAGCTCAGCATGCGCCCCAGCCCCACCCTCCTGGGTGTGCCGGGCAGGGAAACACCTCTGCTTGGGGTCCTTCTTGAGCAGCCCTGAGAGCAGGGACTTGGCTTCGGGGCCGAGTGTGCGTGGGAAGCGGATCTCTTCCATGAGGATGAGCTCAAACAGCTTCTCGTGGTCCTGGTTGTAGAAGGGCAGGCGGCCACACATCATCTCATACATGACCACGCCCAGCCCCCACCAGTCCACTGCGCGGCCGTAGTCATTGTCCTCCAGCACCTGCACAGGGACTGGGTGTCACAGTGCAATGGGACACAGGTAGCCGGGCAGGTGAAGAGTAGGGGTGACATACCTCGGGGGCCAGGTACTCAGGCGTCCCACAAAAGGTCTTCATAGTGGCACCGTCCTTGATGCCTTCCTTGCACAGCCCAAAATCTGTTATCTTTATGTGCCCATCCTTATCCAGCATGAGGTTCTCCAGCTGTCGGGAGGCCTGGGGTCAGCTCCATGGCCGGGCCCTGCCTTCCAGCCCACTTGTGGAGCACAACTTGGGGTCCCACCTTGAGATCCCGGTACACCACGTTCTTCTCAGAGTGCAGGTAGTCCAGGGCTGACACAATCTCTGCGCCATAAAAGCGGGCCCGGTCCTCGGAGAACACACGCTCACGAGACAGGTGGAAGAAGAGCTGTGGGAGGGTACACTGAGGGGCCACAGGCGAAGGGCCACCTGCCACCTGCAGGTAGGACGGGGGGCCAGCCCAGGTGGTCCTGGAGACCCCAACTTGGTGAGGCCAGGGCACTATCCTCTACCCCTGGCAAGTCCACCTATACATCACTGCTGCGGCCACCCAAGTACTGCCCCCGCCTACCTCACCCCCGTTGGCATACTCCATGACGAAGCAGAGGCGGTCATGTGTCTGAAACGAGTACTTCAGGGCCTGGAACAGAGCACAGCTGGAGCTGCAGCCCTCCATGAGGGTAGGGATAGGTGGAGGCCGTGCACCCATGGGTGCCAGGTGGCCCACGGGCACAGAGGCAGACTCTAAAGATGAGCTATGGGGGTCGGGATTCACATCCAGGGAAAACGTTAGGCTCTCAGAAGCAGTGCGCCAGGCTCTGGGGCACCAAGACTGAAGGGAAGTCGAGCTTTCCCACCCTGATGCTGAGCTGTCTCAGAACATAGCCAGCCTCATCCACAGAAGGCCACCAATGGCTGATCACTCCCAAGTGCTGACCCTAAAGCTAAGCAGCTGGCTGGACAGGGCCCTCCCCTGGGTGTGGACGCCTAGCACACTCCCCTCCTGGGTAGGGAGGTTTGCAGAGGTGGGGGCTTGCCAAGTCTGGGCAGACTGGAGAGCAAGGTCACCAGCCCTGCGGCTGCATGCCCACAGCCAGCATCTGGCACTATCATACCCAGCCTGCCACAGGTGACATCTGAAGCCCAGGAAGACACTGTCTTGCATCAACCCACTGGGGGTGGCCCCACTCACCGTGAGGAAAGGGTGCCTGGAGTTCTGCAGGACTCGGTTCTCAGTCAGTGTGTGGGCTACCTCATCCTGGAAGGCAGTATCAGCTGAGTGCCAGGCCAGGCCTGCTCCTGCCTGCCCAGCCACCCAGCTGCACCCACCACACCTTGGCTACGATGACCTCCTTCTTGAGGATCTTCATGGCATAGTAGCGGCCTGTGGCCTTCTCCTTCACCAGGATCACCTTCCCAAAGGTTCCCTTGCCCAGAAGCTTCAGGTATTCAAATTCATTCATGGTCTGTGGGCAACAGGCAGCGCCGGTCAGCAATCCTGTGCCCACAACTGCTCAAAACCCAGAGGCTACACAGTGTCACCCACAGTAGACCGGGGGCCAGGGGCAGGTGGGCCTGTAGGGTCAGCAAGGCCCCAGGCCCCTCACATCCAGGCCATACCCAGGAAGTCAGGTGAGGAAGACCTGTGCCCCAAGGGGTGTCAGGTGTCTGAGCTTTACCACACGGTGCCTGGGCTTGGCCGTGGACACCTCCATCTCCTCAGCCCCCGAGCTGTCACTGGGTGAGCCCGACTGGAACTCCATCAGCTCCTCCTCCTGCCTCTTGAGCCCGTCAGCCACTGTCTGGATGGCAGTTGTCCACTCCTCCCTGCAGGCCATCGGCTCCGTCACCTTTACCTTTGGCCAGCACAGCAGCCCCAGAGCTCCCAGCAGCCACCCAGAACCTGGGCGCCATAGTCTGAAAACCTCCTGGATGCTGCAGACATGGAGGTCCAGCCCACAGCAGGGCAGCCCAACCCACCTTGTGTTCACTCTAGGTTGTTTTCCCAGCCACCTGCACCACAAGGTGGGGCAGGGCTTGTTTCTAGAAGGGGGACAAGGATGGCTACGAGCAGCAGGACCTGCCCTGTGTCCTGCCCTGTGTCCACTGCCCTGTGTCCACTGTCTGCAGCAGGCCCGCACCCCACCTACGCACCGCTCCTCAGGCGTCTCCACGTGGAATGTGCGCTCGATGACAGTGGTCCACTGCAGGCAGCGGATGATGAAGGTGTTGGGCCTGGGCCGCTCCGTCTTCATGAGCTGGCATTCTGAGGGCAGAGCCAGGGGAGCATCTCCTGCCCTCCTCTCCCACCATGTCCACCCTTACAGAACCCACCTGGCCCCAGGGGCCAATCCAGACCCCTTCCAAGCTGTTTTCTTCTAAACAGGTCCTAGCCCTGCTGTAGCTGGGACACCCGCCCTCATCCTGAAGGTGAGGGCAACCCCAGGAGACCCATCCCACAGCACTCCCTGCCTTTGTCTGAGCTCCCAATTCACGCTAGGCTTTGAAGACCAAGGGGCACTGAGGTCTCTGAGCATGGTAGGGATGCAGCTTGCCCCGTTGCACCTGGTGCACAAATGCCTGTGGCTTCTTCCCCAAGCCCAGCTGGAGCACACGCACACCCTGAAGCAGACCCTGGAACACGTAAACCTGCAGCACAGACCTAGAGTAGCTACACACCTAGGAGACATGGCTGCAGCACACCCTCCTTCAGCTCACACACCTGAGGCATGCACACCTGCAACATGTGCACATATGCATCTCACACAGAAGAACATCACACACACACACACACTCCTGGCCACACATGCACCTGGCCTGCTTGTGCAGCTGAGACACGCACACACCTGTGATATATGTGTATTCTGTAACATGTGCACCTGGGCCCACATGCCCCTGGGACTCATGCATACCTGTAGCACACACCCCACAGTGGATGGAGGTGAGGACAAAGCAGCCCTGGGGGGTGAGAGCTGTGCGTGCAGAGAGTTTCTGGGCAGGACTTGGAGGGAGCCTCCCACACTCCAGCACTGGGGCCCTGGCAATGTAGGGGCAAGCAGGGCTCCACTGAGTGTGCAAAGGGACACTGGCCAGGGGCCTGAGGCGAAGCTGCGGGGAAGGCCTGCACCAACACCAGGCACAGGAGGATGGAAGATCTGCCTGTCCTTGTGTGGCACAGAGCCTCCTGCTTCCTTCAGGGCAGCCTACCGGAGGCCACCAGGTGGGATGCCATATCCAGAGCTGGGGTTCTGGCCCCTCACAAACTGGAACCCACTCTGGGGAAAGCCCTGGTCACTGAGGCCAGCACAGCCACCCCACCCCACCCCCCGGCTGGTGCCACCACCTCCCTCTTGCAGCCCACAGCCTGCTCACCGCTCAGGCAACCCTTTCCCCAGCTGACGCCTTTCCATGCACCCTCCTGCTGGCCCCTGCCCACTGTGCTCACTCTGGGGCATGCTGAGGTGCCTCTCCAGCCATGAAGGCCCGGCTCTCATTGAGAGGACGCCAGAGAGAGCATGGGTCAAGGCTGCCAGTGGGTAGGGAGCTGCCGCCTTGGTCTCTCCCATCCTGGGGACCCCTGACTGTCAGACCAGTCTGCTACTGCTGGGCCTCAGGCTGGAGGAGCTGCAGAGGATGAACTTGGGTTCAGAGGAACTGGGTTCAGGTAAAGGCTCCAAGGGGCCTTTGGCCCAGGCCTCATGGGGCAGGCTCTGCTTCTCCCGGCTAGGCACCTGGGGCTCATGGCCCTGGCTGTGGCTCCTTCCTCAAGCACAGTCTGGGGATACAGGATTGGCGACCGAACAGTAGAGTGCCCAAACCATCCCTGCTCCTCTTTCTGCCTGTAGATCCCACAGCTGGGGTCGTCCACACCCAGCCTGGCTTCCAGGACCAGGGCCCAGGACCCAGTGAGGTTCTAGGCAGGACAGGCAGGGCTTTTTGAAGGCTGGGTGCCTGAGAAGGTGCCAGGGTGCAACCCAGGACCAACCCATACGGACACTGCACCACACCCCCAAACCACAGGCTCAGGCCAATGCCACAGGTCTGCCTTGGCATGCTACCCCCACAGATGTCCCACAGCCAAGCCTCAGCATTCGGTCACCCTGTACACTGGCCCTGTCCTGGGTCCGCCCCAGGTGATCTGGCTAGTGATGACAAAACAACCAGCGTCCTGCCTTCCAGGCCCACGTGGGCAGGGCGTCCCAGAACCTACAGCCCTCGCCCGTCGTGCGGAAGGCAAAGGGACCCGCAGGCATGCAGGACCTTGGGAGCTTCCACAGGCAGAAGTCCAACTCCTCTCGGGGTGGGGAGCAGAGCTGTGGGGGCTGGAGGCCCCCCGTACAGTGTCTGCTCCACCCACAGGTCCCATGAGACCCGGTGGGCCATGTTCAGCCCAGCCCCGCACGTCAGAGCCCGCAGCTTCCACACAAGAGCTCCCGGGTACAGCTCCCTCCTGGCCACCCAGATGTAACCCAGGAACCAGCACTATCCTGAGGGCTCTAGCTGTCCCTGTCCACCACACCATCCGTGCTCCAGCCTAGGGAGAGCAAGAGGAAGAGGACACTTACGTGCCACAGAGAAGTTGTTGAGCGGGGACTCCCGCTGGTCCACGTCCTGTGGCCGCTCCTTATAGCCAATGAAGGTGCCATCATTCTTGAGGAGGAAGTAGCGTGGCCGCCAGGTCTTGATGTACTCCCCTGCAGGGCACAGGCAGGGCCGTGCTGAGCACACTGCCTGGGCAGGCCAGGTGGGGGTGGGGCAGAGACAGGCCCTCTGGGAGAGGCGCACTGTGAGGGTCCAGCTGCACTGCCAGGGCTCCTGACAAGCGCTCTGCCTAGGCACCCAGGGGCCGTAAGTGGTGGCTGCTACCAAGACTGAGCCCTGCCTGCGGGTGGAGCCTTGTGCGGCGGGGTGGGGGCCTCCTGGCTGGTGCCAGCCCATCTGCAGACCGACGGGACTGGGCCAGGGGGCCCTCGGCCTGTGGAAGCAGACCCAGGAGGATCCTGTGGCCAGGCGCTAAGACCAGCTGCATGCTGGGCCACCCAGGTACACAGCAGCATTCCTCCCAAGTTCTGCAGCATCAGCCGCACACAGGCACTCGTGAGCAGGGGTGCAAGCAGATGTCCTCCGCGATCTCTGAACGACTGTCATTTTTCACACTGACACCCAGAAAAAAATGTTGCATTTACATTTTGCCGAGCAAGGAGTCTGAACAACAGGGAACTCACTAATTAGGCAACTTCTTCATCTGAGGGGACACTAAGCAAGAGGGTGGGGTAGGACCAGCCCTCAGGCTAAGGCCCTGGATGGGGGCCAGGTCTTCTGCTAGGCAAAGCCCTGGACCTGGAGGGACAAGCAGACAGTGATGGCTTGGTCCCACGGGTAAGCCATGCATGCCCAGCCCCACAGGGCATGGAGCAGGTGAGCCCAGCCAAGCACCCGGGGCAGGCACGGCTTCCCAGGTGCATGGGCTGTGTGAGGCCAGACAACACCCTCGATTTTTTTTTTTTTTTTTTTTTGGCAGAACCAGGGATTGAACTCAGGCCCTTACGCTTGCCAGGGAAGCACTTATTCCACTGAGCCATCTCCCCGGCCCCATGAGCCATCTCCCTGGCCCCCACCCTCAATTTCTTGCAGCCCCAGAGGCTGGCAGCCTTCCCCATCTTCAGCCCTTCCACAGGCCATGCCATACCTTGGTGTCCCAGGTGGGCACCCAGGCAGCCTTCACAGCCTCAGCTGCACCTTCCTTCCAGGGTGCAAGCCACAGAGTCTTCCCCCAAGCCAAGCCCTAGTGCCCAGCCATGCGAGCTTTACTCTGCATCATTCTGGCTAGAGAGAGATGCATGGGGCACACAGCACCTGCCCCCAGCAGGGCCTGAGTGTGCATAGGGGGGCTGCAGGGTACCCTGATGCAGCTGGGAGAGGGTGACCAGAGCCCAACCAGGCTGCCCATCCCAGACACCAGTGGGAAGTGTTCCCTCTCTGTGATGCCCTGTCTGGACAATGCAGGGGTTCTGAGGGGACAGACCTACTCGCTGCTGGCCTACAACAGACCTGTGGCCACCAGGGCACTTACAGCCAAAACCTGGACCTCGGAGTTGCTGGGGCCTATGACCATCACCCAGCACAACCCACTTGAGGAGAGTCGGCATCTGCCCCTCAGCCAGATGCACAAGGCAGGCTCCCACAGCCCCTATGGACACACAGGTCCCACCGGGTGCGTACACCTGCCAATCACAGTACCACATGGCCCCGCCTGGCCGCCATCCTGATGGAAAGCCTGGCTGTGCAGCTCAGGCAGGAGATGGAGCGGGCAGAGCAAGCAGGGGGTACCCACCCCCGATCCCGGCCCACGCACCCGCCCACACGAGTGCCCACCCGCCGGCACCAGTCTGGAGCTGTCGGCCCCTGATGGAGTGCCTCCCATTTTGCCAGCTGCCGCTCCCCAGGACGCTAACCGAGCGGGGCGGCTGATGAGTATTGTGCCTGTACACCCTGGAAAATCCATCTTGCTCTACCACCTGCTGCCCGCCCCTATCACAGCCCCCCCCACCACACCAGCACTCAGCCTCCACCCCAGTGGACTCCCAATCTGACCCTAAATTAGCCTCCTTCCTCCCAGCTCCTGCCCCACCAGCCCAGCCCTGTCCCTAGATGAGCTGCACAGGGCCAGCCACTCTAGGAGCATGACCAGGGCTGCGAGCTGAAGGCAGTCCTCGCTGGGAAATAAGCCCCCCAAGAGAAGGGCCAGGAAGGCCCAGGAATCTGGCACTGCAGGAGGCCTCACCCCCTTTCCCTATGGGGCCCAGCACCTAGACCCCTTCAGAGCAGCTTGGACACACACAGCTTGGTCAGGTGGTCACTGGGGTGGGGGCAGCTGTGGCCTGGTCCGTGGCCAGCACGTTAACAAGTTCAGCTCAGGACAGACAAGAGGCAGGCCAGCAACTCAGACCGTGGCCTTGGGCCCCAGCCCCTCCAGGACTGGGAGACCCTGCAGAGCTATGTGGGCGGGGCCACAGAGGACACGCTGGGGTTGCAGTTGCTGGGACGGGCAGGAAGAGACTGGCCACAAGGCTCCCCTTTGTCCTGTCTGCAGGAGTGAACCTCTCTGACCTGACTCCCCTACCCTCAGCAAGCTGGCCCCAGCTGGGGACTTGTGCAGCCAGCAGTCCTCAGGGACATGGACCCACATGGGGACCACAGGGCCCAGTGCTCTGGACAGACACAAGCAAGAGACCAAGAACAAAGCCAAGCCAACCCTCAGGACACGCCCACCCCCACCCCTGCTGAGGCCCACAGCTCCCTAAGGCCAGAGGGGTACTCCACAGGCAGTAGACCCAAGGCAGCCACGGTGGGCAGTCAGGCTGGCCCTGATGTCAGAGAAGGCTCAGCTCCTGCCAAGATACAGCCACTGCAAAGGGGTGGGCAGTGGCCAGCGCAGCTCCAGCCAATGGCACTCATCTATCCAACCTTTGGCAGGCTCTGGAGGCCTGGCCTGTACCACTCCTCCAGCCTGAGGTCCTCCTGGATCCACCCAACTGCAGGTGGGCAGGGTGAGCCAGGGCCCTGGCCCTGACCTGGTTAACAGCAGAGCCAACACCTCCACTGAACCTGCACCCAAGTCCTCAGCCTGGCTCATGGCCCTTTGACCTACCTGTGGTCAACCTGACTGGTCCCCCACCAGCGCAGGGTCACTGCTCCTGCCAGCCCCTCCTAGACCAGACACTGGGGTTGTAGCAAGGCTCCCAGAAGGCCCCAATGCCAGAGCACCTGCGAGTGAGGCCTCTTGGCCAGTGAGCTGGGCCGTAGGTGAGGGTACCATGCAGCACCACCACAGAAACGTCCTGGGGTCCCACTGAGTGCCAGGTGTACAGGCCCCTCTGAGCCACACTGGCCCAGCCACCACACACTGAGCGCCACAAACACCCCAAGTCCCAGCTCTCGGGAAACTGCTGGGTAAACACTTTGCCGCACGGTGCTGCAGTGGCAGGCGGCAGCTGGCGGGGCGCCAGGCGGCACCGAGCTGTCTCTCTACAGCAAAGTGAGCCCCAGCAGGCCTGCAGAGCGGGCGCCAGCTGACAGCAGCGACCACACAGTCCCCCGCTGCCACCACATCCATCGCGTGCGACAGCTGCTGGGTGCCCATTTACCTTCTCCAGCACATTGAGCACGCATGTGGTATGGACACGGCCCTCGGGGCTGGTGGGCAGCGGGTGGCGCGGTCACCTCCAAGGCTCAGCCTGTTGGGCCTCTGCCTGAGTCCAGCACGTGCTAGCCATCAATGGCCCAAGAACCAGCAAGGGCAGAGCAGGGAGAAGCCAGATGACCAAGGCCACAGACCTCCCACCCACCCACCTACTCCCCAGATGGCCCGTGGAAGGCAGGGTGCCCTGCCTGGACCCTTAGGGCATGGGACATGAGGGCAGGCTCGAACATGGTGCCACAGCTGTCCAGACCACTCTCTAGCCTGCAGCCCTATCCACCCAGAAAGCATAGCTGCGAGCAGGGAAAACAGGATCATCATGCCTACTGCTCCCTGGGGAGACTGAGGCTCCCACAAAGGGACACTCGAGTCACAGAGAAGCAGACAATGTGCACAGACCCATGCTTGTGAGGTACGAGCAGCTCTTCTCAAGGGTGGGCTCTACCATGAAGCGGTCAGCAATGTATGTACCATCCTGCGGGCTGCAGAGGCAGTGTACTGGCAGGGTGCTGGCAGGGCTGCCTCCAGCTTTCAGGTATCCCCGGCCCAGCCCCCCAGGCTGCAGACCTCTGCCACTCAACCTGCACCTCCTTGCCGCCACCTCCTGCTTGGCACTGCCCAGCATCCTCCCCTGGCCAGTAAAAGTCCCAGACCCCACCAGGGTACACACCAAACTTGTCCATCTGTCACCAAGGCCAGTGAGGCCCCATCCCATGTCCCTCAACTCTTCCTACGCGGTCCACAACCTTTGTGGGGTGCACTTGTGCCCACATCTAGCTTCTGGTCTCCCCGACCCCAGAGGCCTGGTTCCCCAGATGCTGTCTCTGCCTGTCCTGCTTACAGAGCTTCTCACACTGGCCCTAGCCCACGTGCTACCAGCTCCACCTCCACTGAGCTGTTGCCACCATGGTCCCCAAACCCAGCCTATCTGCGTGGTGTGCTGTGGCCCGTGACAGCAGGGGACCCATGACAGGTGGAGGTCACATGAAGAAGGGGCATCAGAGGCTTAACCAGCACCAAGCGCCCCATTCAGTTCCAAAGTGGTCTCCCTAGATAAACCACTCAGACACAGCCCAGTCACACCCACCACACAGGGCCAGGATTCCTGGCAGGATGCAGGAAGGTGGAGCGGCCACTGGGCAGGTGGGCAGGCAGGGCCACTTTGAGAGGGGACAGCAGCCGAGGCTTCCTTCCAGGGTGGCTGCACACACGCTAGCTTGTCTCCACCCTGGTGCACACACCCAGAGGACACAGAAGCAAAGCCCCAAGGCCCACCAGCTGCCACCTCACCGCAGACCTTGCACCCTAGTCCTGCCTCGCAGCCCCTCTGGGGCAGGGTCTGAGTGCAGCACTAAGTCTCCTCTTCCAGGACACCGCGGCTCCCCCTTCAGGTGCCACCACACTCGCATGGCCTCACCCTCTCAAGCTGGCTCCTGGTCAGGACCTGTGCAACACCCCGCCCACTAGGGAGGCCAAGCGTGGGCTACAGTGCTAGCCTCCCTAACTCAGCACCCCAAGATCCCAGCTACACGCCAGACCCACAGGAGTCCCTGTGAACCCTCATGCCAACACCTACAGGCATGCAGTGATTATTTCCCAAGGTTAAAGAAAGGTATGTCCAAAAGCAGAGAAGCAGACAACTGTGAGGCAGGGGCCAGGGCCCCCGCCCACTGCCAGGCTCAGTTCTTGCTGGGAAGGGCAGAGGGGGCAGAGTGGTGGACAGCCCAGGCAGCAGGGAGCAGCCTCTGCTCCAACTGTGGGAGGGCTGAGGCTCGATGCTGGCACGGAGCCTGGCCCGGGTGTGCCCAGGCAGGGGTGCCAGCCCAGCCAGGCCAGTTCCCTCCACTCCACCCCCGCCGCACTTCTAGGAACCAGCCTGATGCAACCCACTGGGCCACCCTCAGCAGGCCCAGTCCCAGGCCTCAGCTTCCCTGTTCAGTGTGAACTCTGCTGCCCATGGGGCTGCGAGGGGGTCGGGAGGAGTCTGGGCCCAACAGCTGGTGGGTCATATGGCCTCATGCCCGCTCCACTCTCCCCTGTGTGCCCACCAGAGGACACCCCTGCCAGGACACAGTGGCTGTGGGGCTCAGGCCCCCACATCCAGGCTGGGGCCAGCAGTGACCCCATCTTCAGGGCAAGGTCGCCTGCTTCCTCTTTTGTTGTTTGTTTTTAAAAGGAGAGTTCAACATGCTCACAAAACAGGAAACTCAGGCCCTGCACCACGGAGCCCACCCTCGGCCACAGCCAAGCTGTTCTGCGCTACCCATCATCAGCCGTGGGCCAGGCTCCCCCATGCCCTACACAGCTCACAGCACGGCCAAGGTGTCTGGGACACCTGCCCAGGGCACCAGGCCCAAAGCCCCTTGGAGTCATCGCCCAGCTCCACACTCCCAGGAGGCCCAGGTCAGGGTATGACCACAGCAGGACACACATGGCTGGGCCAGTGTGCAGCTCCCTGGGTTCAGCTGAGCTGAGGCTCACACACTCCCCCCACCACATGACTGGGCACACGTGCCCGGCAGCCACATATGTGCCCGATGCCGTCCCTTCGCCCACCTGTCCTGCTTCTTGGCTGCTCCCTGCTATGCTCAGGGATGCTGAGGACACAGCAAGCCTGACTGAGGGGACAACAGCAAGGCCCCCCAGGTTACTCTCCAAGGGACACACAACAGACAGCTACTGCTCATCACCATGCCTCTGAACCCCCAGGACAGTCCCCCTCCTGGGCCAGCCCAGTGCCAAATGGCCCAGGCTGCAGAACAGTTCTGGGGAGGCTGGCAGGCTCCCTGCAGGGCCAGAGAGGGCAAGGTGCGGCTCAGTGCTGAAGGACAGTACAGTGTGGCCCAGGAGCCCAGGCCTGCTTGCCGGAGGCTCAGGGGACCACTGCATGTCAGAAGACAGTGGACAGGACTGTGTGGCGGGGTGGTGCTGCCCACACCTGTGCCACCTTGAGGCTGCAGCTGGCTGTCCTGCTGGGGCCCACGTCCTCCCGCCCTTACTGAAGGGACAGGGATGTTGAGGCCCGAGGCTATCTATAACCTTTGCTCTGGAAGGCCATACCTGGACAGAGCGGGCCCCACCCAGCCCTCTGGACACCCCATAGGGCCGGATGTCCCACCCAGGGACTCAGAAGGGACCCTGGTGAGTAGCACCTGAAAACCTTAAACCCCCAGGGCATCCTGCTCCGGGGCAGGAAATGCCCCAGGAACTGGAGGCCAAGCATCTTCTGGCCAGGGTCAGCTCCAAATCAAGTGGTACAATAAGCATCCACCCAACACCAGTTGAGGAGACAGACCGCACAGCACAAAGGAAGCAGCGCCGAGGGGGGCAGCCCATACTGACGCTGTGGAGAGCAGGGGGAGTACGGTCTGCTCCTGGGGAATCAGGTCTCAGAAGGAGGGAAAGGTAGCAGCTGGGCAGGATGGGCAGCGGGGCCAGGCCCACATGGCCCCGGCCGCAGCCTTCTACCACCACTGGCCAGCACTGCCCTGGCAGCTGCCAACTGAGGCTGCCTGGTACAAGCTGATTACAGCTTCCATGCACTTCAAGACTTCTGGAGGTCTCTGTCACCCTCTGGCTTTCTCCCTAGCCTCCACTGCTCCCAGACCCACACTGTTGAGGAGCTCCTACAGATCCCACAAAGCCCATTTCATGACACCCACTTCTGCCAAACACCCGTCTGATCCATACCTGGGGCTCCCCCCCCCCAACAAAGACGTGGGATCCATCTGCATGAGAGCACTGCATTAGGGAATCACCAGAATTTCCCTAAGAGTAGAGCTGGAGGAAGAGGAAGTGGGAGGGGCTGGCCAGTGTCCCCCTAGGGCAGGAGGGCACAGCTGGAGGAGGAGCCTGTCCCATGCTCCCTTGGCTGCAGGGCTCCCACAGACCCAGGCCAGCCTAGGCTGGACTCTGAATAGAAGGAGAGCCCAGCCTGAGGTGGGGTGGCCCTGCTCTGCACTTGGGAGCCCCATACGGAGCCCAGTCACCAGTGTACCCACCCCAGAGCACCCAGTGTCCTGCCTTCCAGGAAAGCCAGGAAGGTGCACCCGCTCCACCCGGCGCCACCAGGTGAGGCAGGGCAGCTGTCCACTGACCTCGCTTGTGCAGCCAGCCCTCCTTCACAATGGCCACGTCGTTCATGGTGCCTGCAGCCTCTGCGGGCCGGGGTGGCCCCACCGTGCTCGTGGTCTCCACAGTCTCCTCTCAGGGAGCTCAGGGCCCAGCCCTGGCCACCGTGTCTGGGGGAAGAACAGGGTCTCAGAGGCACGCCCACCTTCCTGTCCCCTTCTCCCCAGCTGTGCAGAACACTCACACCCTACATCTTCTGTAGACCACTGTCCCACCACTGCTGCCAGGGAGTGCCAAGTGCCCGGCCATCCTGGCCTGGACACTGGGCCCACAGGCTCAAAGCCCTGGCAGAGACCCCCGTGCAACTGGGAAAGCGAGACCCAGGCCTAGCGCGGCAGAGGCCAGAGCCCTGCGGACAAACCTGGACCTCCCAAAACCCCCACCCTCCTGAACTGTGGCACCCAGTGAATCTGGTTCATCCACTCAGCCAACGTGGACCAGGCATCTCTGCTTTTGCCAGGCCTTGTGCTGGGTGTGTGAGACAGACACGGTCAGAAGGTTGTCAGCAAGGGGCACCCAGGGCAGGGTGGTTACAGAGCCACCATTACAGCATTCAGGAGGCCACAGGTGAGAGACACCAGACAAGCCCTCGCCCTGCAGGGGCCCACCCGCCAGCCCACTCCAAAGCACACTCTGCCCCTAAGTCCACAGCTATCCCAGTGCAAGTACTGTGCTCCTAGGCATCCCTCAAAGCCCAGTTCACATGTCACCACTCCGGCACCCTGAGAAGGAGCACGTGCATATTCCTCCTTCCAGCAGCCCACCAAGAAGCCACAGGGTCAGCCCAGACGGAGGACCAGGCACCATACAGCCCAACATGGCCTTTCTCCAGCCAGCCCATAAACCTTCCTGCCAGTCACTCTGGCCTCCTGGGGCTGGGGCCAGACATCCAGGGTGTCACTGGCTCTCACTGTCTTCAGCAGCATCTGGCCCAGCAGGAAGGCCCCGGTGCCTGTGTCAAAGGCCAGGCCAGAGAAGACCCAGGGGCAGAGCAAGCATGGCTCAGCTCGCCTAGGGAAGGCAGCCTACACAGGGCCCAGGGGGTCTCTGTGACCCGGTGGGCGTGGCCTGGACGCCTGGAGACCCCCACCCCCACTGCCAGGCCCAGGCCTGACGTTGACAGTCCCATGACTGCGGAGCCCAGTGGGGCATACACTGGGTGCACAGACTGGGCGAGCATGGGCATGGGACCCCGCCTGCAGCCGGGTGCCCCACAGGAGGGAGGAGGGGACCACCACTAAGACCCCACACATCATCTGGGACCCAAGTCTAGGAGCTGCTTATCCAGCAGCCAGCCACCAACGCACCCGCCCTTCACTGGGGCTGCGTCCAGCAGTGACCAGCGGCCACCTGGAGCAAGGTGGGCCTGGGGGTCGCACGGCACTGGCCCAGCTCTGGAACCGGCTGGCCCTGGATAGCCTATCCCAGGAGCCCCCCGACCCGGCCTTCCAGGCCCAGCAATCGCCAGGGTGGGCAGCGCCTCCAGGCCTAGGCAGGCAGGAAGCGGCTTCCGGGCTGGGAGGGCCAGGCGCCCTTTGTGGGCTAGGCTGGGCGCCCTGCCACCACGGCAACTTTTTGTCCACGGGAAGTAAGGTCTCCTTCCAGGCTCTCACACGGGCTCGCAGGCCCAGCCTTACTCCTACTCCAGCCCCATTTCGCAGGGCCTCGGCAGCGCCCCTCTCCCCGGCCAGACTGGCGCCCCAAGGTCAAGCGGAGGCCGGTTGGGCGGCCGGCTCCCCGCGCCCTCCGAGCCCAGGCCGCGCTGGGCCACTTCCTGCTCCGCCGCAGCCTGGCGGGAACAAAGCGCGGCGGCCGCGGACTGCGCGGGGGGCGGCGCACTCACCCGCCG